TGAATACTTAACATTGGTAGGTTAACTTTAGTCTCACATTGTTTTCTGCTGGAAGGCTCTGACAAAACAGGCCTGGCAGCTGCTGTCGCCCGTAAATAGCGGCAGACTTTGGCGGGCAGAGAGCCGAGTGACACTGCCACATTGTTCCCTCTCCAACACTGGGTGCGGTGAAAGTCGTCTACGATCACGATGGCACCAGAAACCACAGGTGGCAAACACCCTATCCGCCTTTGCTACAAGGCCTCGGGCATGGCCGCAGAATATCGGTTACAAACAACAACACTAACGGCCTAATCTGAAGCCAAGAGTCAACTGGAAATGTCAGAAAAAAGGGCGCACGCAGTAAAAGCCGTTTGAATCCTTTCAGGCCGAGTGGAACACTGTGGGAAATGTGACAATTAAGCAGCTCTGAGCTGAATTCCCAGTCATGTAAAGAATGACGTGTGAATGGCACTTTTCAGCCGCTGCGGCACTTGAGTTGCATCTGAGAGAAGAGAGCAAGTCCCTACAAAAGTGTTTACTCTCTCTCGCCTCTGCTTTTTTCACTCTCATCAGACAAAAAGCTTTTCCATGTAGTGGCACAATTGCCACCGCTCACCCAGCCTCTCTCGGAGGAGGAGGAGGAGGACGAGGTGAGTTTGTCTGCCTGATGAAATTGCCCTTTGTGGCCCACCTATAATTTTGTCCTGAGCTCTTTTTTCCCTCCGCAGCTGCTCCCAGGTGACATCAAATCTAGACGCCAGCAGTAAAGAGAAAAGACAACTCCTTCACCCGGTCATCCAATATGATTTCCTCGACATGTTGACCCTAGTAATCCTAGATGACAGCATTTTTCATTTGACAGCTGCGGGTTTCCTAACCCCGTAAATGTACCTGCCGTCACACAGCTTCCTCCACAACCTTTGCACCATAACTTTACAAAATACTGCCACATTTGGTCGTTCATAAAAAATAATAATCCTAGTTTTACATTTCAAAAAAGAAAAAAGTACATCCACTTGCAAATAGTAGTATTTCTAAGTAGCCTAACTTATCCTGACAGTATCAGTACATGCACCGCAACACATGCAATTACTCTTAATCAGGTTAATAGAGGCAGTTACCAACAACAATGTTTAACAACAGGAGCCAATTCATTCGACTTGAAATTAATTCCACTGAGTCTGTTCAACCTGAGACTGCAACTGGAGTTAGGAATGCAAACTGATTCGTGCCAGAGGGCAGCTCTGTGCTTCCATTAATAGAAAACCTTTCTGTGGCCAGAATAATAGCTCTCCCCACCACCACCAGCACCTCCACACACACACACACACACAGACAGACCTCTAGAAACTGGCTAAATGTCACTCAGCAGGGTCCCATCATTTTGGAGCAATCACCCCCCTTGAATACACTAACCTCAGATGCACACTGTGTCACGTGTTCCCATATCTTACAGGTTCTCCTGGAGGAGATTCTCAGGGGAAAGTGCGACTGAACAGGAAATAGATGCATGACATTACAAGAGACCCGCTGGGGTTTTTTGCACAGGTACGAGCTGCAGCCACCTGTTCAGCCCCTAAAGAGAGTTGTGTTTGTTTTGAGCGGCGCACACTAACCCATGATGACATTTTTCATCATTAGTGGTCTTGTTTGAGGCAAAAGAGGGACTGGAGGGGACGGGAAATACAACAATGCATAAACGGACAGATGGGATCCTTCCCCCCCAATCTGGGAGGTAACCATGGCCTAACATAGAGCTGACCTGTACTTGGATGACTAAACACCGAGCATCGCCACTCGATCTGGAGCAGATAAACATTTACAGACTGAAAGGTCATCAGGAAGTGTCCTCCCCGCTAATCAAATAGCCCTAAAGGCGAGGTTTGATCTTTTGCAATCTGCCGAGAGGTGAGGCCAGTCGGGAAGAGTAAGATCCGGCCTCTGGGCTTCCACAGGGCAGCCTGCACCTGTTTATCACTCAACATCCACCATGAGGAGCAAACACTCGGCTCAGACTGCAGCCGGGGTCACTGATCGTCACACTGGGTCCAAATGTGTCACACAGCATGTTACTGAAAGTTTTTAGGGGAAGGATTAAACTGTGATCTTTGTGTGTTAAAAAACACAGAAAAACATTGAAACTGCTCAAAGATCATTTTCTCTGTATATTCTGCTATGAAGTGTGCGCAGAATGCAGAAAGCACATAAACACTAAATGAAAACGCACAACAATTAGTAAAACACATCCTTTCCTCTGCTCCAGATGATGACGTGTGTCCAATAACCATCACAGGAGACAATAACCAGGAAATATTAACACTTTACTCTTGCTTTCAACATTTGATTTGAGTTTTTTATCTGTTCTATCCGGTAACTAGTTTTCATTCTCGCTTTTCTTTTTGCTCCCCTCTGTAAGCCAATGTTTTGAACAGAAGAAAAATATCCAAGTAATTGACTCCGTGGAGAGATCAACAAATGTTTGTTGGACCAAGATCCATAAACCTACATCAAAATTGCAAAATTCTTCAGGCATTCTGCAGCCGAGCCTCTGTCTCTGTTGTGTTTAGGTTTTAAGATGTATTCTTTCCTCCACTGCATCCTGAGCTCTACTTAATTATTTAAGCAGAAATAATTGGGTTAAATTAATTACTGGACAAGTTCTACACTTGGATTTACATGCATCAGTAAGTGTATCAGAGAAAAGACCTGTAATTTGTACCACTTGGTAAAGGAAAGTTGAAAACAATCGATTCACCCACGGGTGTTCATTAAAGAACGTTTTAGTAGGAAGAACATCCAGAGTAAGAAACTGCTTCAAAATACTTA